GTTGAATTGTTGGTTCTAGTTCCAGAGTCCATAGCCTTGGGGGACATCAAAGTAAATTGACATTACATCATCCACAAAGACAATGCTTTCCATCCTACTTTGAAAAGTAGCTACTGGGATCTTAAAAGTTTGTGAGTGGCCTTCTAAGGTATAAATATTAGTCTTTCCTTGTCTAGAACAAGCAAAGATGTATTGCGACAATTGATCCAAAGGACTAATTGCCATAGGAACCCAACTTCCACAATCAGAAGAAGTAGATGGTACCCATCAACCACATTTGATGTCTCTGACAGGGATCACAATAGAAGATCCTGGCTAGAGTGGAGGTAACTATGTAACAAAACTAAAAACCATAATAAAGTTAGGTTTACTCATCCAATAGAGACTAAACTCCTAAGGCTGAGACTATGACAAATAGAAATGGAACTTCTGAGCCTGAGACTGTGACCACTAGTCATCCTTAGAACCTGGTACAAAATGTATTGCTCTGCTAGAGAAAGATGGACAATCGTCTCCCATATGATTTACAGCTTCTGAAAACCCACTGGAGGGTCAGGTATAAGTAGGTTCTGACTTGATAGCAATAACTGTGGGGCTTACTTATACTGGGCTTTGGTAACATTCTGAAAAACCTCTCAGAAGCTTTGGGAGGATAAAAGCTAGCTCTAAGACCTCCTCTGAAACCTTGCTAAGTTTCCACACAAGATCCTGTTCTTTTAAACAGTTGTGAAAATGACTTCTATAGACATAGTCCAGGTAATGAATTGTTGTTATGTGCCATTGACTTGGAACCAACTCATAGCTGACTCTCCAGGGGGTTTTCAGAAGCTTTAAATTGCATAGGCAGAAAGTTCCCATTTTTGTCACATAGAGAACTGGTAAACTAGAACCTCTAGTTGCCCCCCAAGTCCACCCCACTATGCAGCCTTCATTCTGGACTCCTGTCATGACAATAATACCTAATCATATATCCCTTTTAAAGAGTTCTCTCCCTCATTTGTTTCAACTCTTTACGACTTGGCCCCCAGAAGACATAAATTAAAAGAGGTAGCCAGCGAGTGCCAAATATTCTACTTCAAAGGCTGGTGAAATGTTACCATGGACTCTCCAAAGGGGATAAGTAGGAATATAGGATGGAAATGGAGAAACTAAGGGATTGGTCAGGATGGAATGGATAAGGAAGATTTACCCTGAAATGAGATGGGACTGAAGAGAAAATCTTACTGGAAGGAAATGCACTAAGGTGTATGGGTGAAACAATTGTGTTTTTCTTTCCTTGTAATGTTATGTACCTTCTTTATCTTACTATAATGAAAATGTAATTGTTTTGGGTTTTTTGTATTTTTAATTTTATATAGTAGTTTTATTTATTAATATTACTATCAATGAAACATTCTAAATAAATTGAAATTCTGCAATGTATTACAATAAATAATATGATCAAATTGAAGCTATGACAAATTTGACCTGTTAGTAAAGAATATGAGTATAGATAAAACCAGTAAGATTTAAGAAAAATAAATGCAAAAATGATAAAAAAGATGATATTCAGAAGCAGAAAAAATATACCTTTTGGGACAGTCCTATTTATAATTTTGAACTTGAACTCTTTCTTCCAACTATAATTTCTATTTTTTAAATTTTAAAAATAATTTTAATGAAAGTTTACTGAGACTATGGAATTTAATTAATTCATTGTTTTACTTTTCTCCTTGCCCACCCCTCCCCCCCAGTGCGCTCTTCTCTTGGAAAAGTAAAAGAAAAATTCTTTCATTGTTTTATAATCCCTCCCCCCAGGTCCTCTCCACTATGCAGCCTTCATTCTAGACTCCTGTAATGACAATAATACCTAATCCCATGTCCCTTTTAAAGTTTCCTCCCCCTTCTGTTTCAATGCAGTATACTTTATTTAACCCATCTTTCTCAGTCTCCCCCCAACCCTGATGTCAGTCCTGTTTTACAACAGTGACACTATGCAGTATTTGTCCTTTCATGACTAAATACTTCACTCAGCATAATATCCTCCAGGGTCACCCATTTTGTATAACATTTAATTAAAATGTAATTGTTCTTAAGTGGAATAAAATTCTATTTTTGAACTGACAGCCTTTCTCCTAGCTTCTCAACATTTAACTCAGTATGCCAGTGGGGATGCCTAAAAATGCTATTTTTAATTGAAGTACAAAAGAACAAGGGATGAGATAGAAGAAGCTGATTATGTTTTACTTTGGACAGAAGGAGTAGTAGCCTACTGCTTTGTCTTCACCTGACATATATACATGGGGAACCAATGTGTGTCCAGGCCTGTATATTCATGAAACAGAGAAAAGTGTAACCTCTATTTTCTAAGGCTTCACTATCTCATTTTGAAACCTGTGGAATGATTGCACGTGTTTTCCCTCAATGCATCATCTTTGCACATTGTGGGGCACAGACTAAGTGCTCAGTCATGGTACATTCACATGATGGAATACTATACATCACGCAGGAGCAATGCCTTTGTAAATTACTACCTAACTGGGAGGGACTGGAGAGCATTCTGCTGAGTGAACTAACTCAGTCCCATAAGGACAAATACTATATAAAAATATTATTGTAGAATGTGTATGAGGATCTAAGGAGGAGAAAGTGAGAGAAAAGGGGTGAGGATGGATGGGAGTGGTGGTGGTGGTGTATAATCATAGGGTTGCATAATTTGATGGGTAGAGGAAGGGGTGGGTAAAGGAAAGGGGAAAAACCGGTGTGAGAAACAATGTGTACAAGCTTTGTATATAAACCAATATAAAATAAGTTTTTTTCCTTCTTTTTTTTTCACGATCTACTCAGCTTTTATTGAATCAAATATGGTCACAAATATGTAAATATTTTTTTACATAGTACAATGCATAGAAAATTATTTCTCTTCAAAGAAAATGGACACAGTCATTCACTATTCTTGTCATTCCTAAAATGTCACATGATACATTTCTTGGTTTCCTCCCCCCCTTTTTTTTTTTAAATTTAGGTTGTTTATTTTTCATTTCAATGAACATCTACAGAGATTTTGGGATTCCATTCATTCATTGTTGCACCCTTCTCCTG